CAGGACTTAATTTGTTCTTTTCCTATTTCTTAGGAGAGATTTATTCCTTCTTTTCTAATATTTGCCTGTGTTCAATGCAGTAAGTTTGCAAGAAGTGCTTTTGAGTCATCATAATGTTTTTATTTTCAATTAGTTTGAAATACATCCAAATTTCTTGATTCCTTGGCCCATGTGTTCTTTAAAAGTGTATTTTTCAGTCTCCATGTTTAGAATATAAGTTAACTTCCTGTTAGTGATTTTGTATTGAATTCTACTGTGGTTTGAGAGCAGAAATTGCATTTCTGTTTTTAAAATTTGTTAAAGGTGTGTCTTATGGTCCAACATGTGGTGATCTTAATGAATGTTTCATGTAAGTTTAAGAAGAATGAGTAATCTTCTGTTGTTGGATAAACTATAGATTTCAATTGTCTTACTGATTTGATGGTGTCGAGTTCAAATGTATCATGATATATTTTTTCCCAATGAATCATTCCATTTTGATTAAGGTCTGTTAAAGTCTCCAATTATAACAGTTGATTCATGTATTGCTCCCTTTAGCAGTTTTGATTCATATATTTTGACGTTGTGATGTTATCACATACCTACAAAGAATTTGTCTTCTTGGAGAACTGGCCTCCTTAGTAATATGCAATGGTCCTCTTTATTCCTGAGAACTTTGCATGCTTTGATGTGCACCTTTTCTGAAATTAAAGTAGCTATTTCAACTTCATTTTGATAGTTACCTCAGTATATTTTTCTTCATCCATTTACTTGTAAACAATATGTGTTCTTAGCTGTAGAATTTAGTCCAATACTTTTTCTCCAACTACTGACAGGATCATATGGCTTTTTCCTTTCCTCTGTTAAAATGATGAGTTTTGGGGATGGATCTTCCAATGGTGAACCAACACTGCCATCCCTATAATAAACCACTTTCTATATACTGCCAGATATGACTTCTAATAGTTTGTTAAACAAATTTCTATCTATGTTCATACTTTTTTCTTCTTTTATCTTTATCCAGTTTTAGTATTAGCACAATGTTGATTTCCTAAAATGAGGGGAGAAGTATTCCTTTTTTCTGCTTTAAATGTTTGATATAATTTATCAGTTAAAATGTATATGAGCCTGCTGTTGTCATATAGGTAGGTTTTCAAGCTAGGAATATACTTTCTTTAATACATGTTATTCAAATTTTATATTTCCTCCAGAGTTAGTTTTTTGTCTTCCAAGGTACTTCTTAGAAGTCGTCAAATTTATTTCAAAAAAGATTTTTGTAATATGCTTTCTATATCCTTTTAAATTCTGTAAAATCTGTGGTAATTTCTTCTTGATCTTGATACTGATCTTGATACAATTTTAAAAATGTATAATTGATATTGTGTAATAGGAAGTAAAGGTCTAAAGGAGCAGGGGAAATGGGAGGGGTAGGGGAAAGGAAAGAAGGGAAAAGAAAAAATATGAGAAAAGGAAAAAAAATTGAAACAAAGTCTGCAAATAGGGAAGGGTGGAGGGGGTGAAGGGAGGGCAGGGGAAGGGGAAAAAATAAGAACCAAGATACATTATGTAAAGGTACAAGATCCTAATGATGAATGTAACTGTATTTTATACCTAAAATGTACCAACAAACTTAATGGGGAAAAACCCAAACAATATGTGTTCCTTTCAAAGTGAGTTTACTGTAGGCAATATGTTGAGTCTTGTCTTTATATCCAATCTGACAACTGCTGTCTTAACTTGTGCATTTATACTACTGACCTTCCAAGTGATTATAGCTGGATTAAACTACTCTTGTTACTCTTTTCTAATTGTTGCCATTGTTCTTTGTTCCTATTTTTGTTTACTTTTCTGCCTATTGTGATTTGAACTGAGCATTTCACCTTTTATTTTATCTCCTTATCATATCAGTTATACTTCATTTTTTGTGGTTACCCTAGAGTTTGACAACACATATTTAGAACAAATCTACACTCATTTTCAACTAGCACTGTAATACTTCATGGATAGTATAATTTATTATAAAACAATTATAATTCTTCTCTCCCATCCCTTTTATCACTATCATTCATCTCACATGAAAACACATACACATAAATGTAAAATGTATCCCTAACCATACATAATTGAAAACATCATTGCTATTATTACTATGAACAAACCATTATGTTAGATCAGTCAAGAATTGGAAAAAAAAAGTGTCCAAGTACTATGGGACAATGACACGAGGTGTAAATGACTTATAGTGGGAATACCAGCAGGAAAAGAAAGGAACCAAAGGAATATCTGAAGAATAATAACTAAGAATAATATCAGATAACATGCAGAAGCCTAGATCCAGGAAGATCAGGGACTAATAGCAGGGAAATGTCAAAACAATCAAAAAATGGCACCACAAAAATTAAAGGGGAAAAAAGTCCAAGAAGAAACCCTAAAGAAAAACACCTCACCTATAAAGAAGAAAAGATGAGAAGTACATACATATTCTCTTGAGGGAGAATACAAGGAAGGAGTGGAGTACAGTAAAATATTTCTAGAAACAAACAACAATCTAGACTTCTGTTTCCTGAAAAATTACCCTTTAAATCAGAGAGAGAAATATGAAGACTTTGTCAAACAAAAATTAAGGAAATTTGCCAGTAAACCTACCTTGCAAGAAATATTCATAAAGTTCTTAGAAGGAATATAGTGGAGGTCAGAAATTTGGACATAAAAGAAAGAGAACAAAGAAGAAATAAGTAAAAAAATTATTTTCCAATTCTTGACTGATTATTATTCATTATATATGGAGATCTTATCCACTATTTGTCCTCTCTTCCTTCAGGGACTCAATTACTAGAACAGTAGCCCACTGGAAGCTACAGCTGTGTAGCTCATAGAGGTCTCCTAAGATCCATCCCTCGACTTAAGTCACTGTATCATAGGAATGGGGCACACACACATAGCTTCAAAGTAACCCTTAGTGAACAAACTATTTTCAAAAATACATATATATCAAAATTACATCTCTATTTCTTTTTTATGTATCTGGTTCAGTATACTCATCAAGAGTATTTTATTCCTTTAGTGAGATTCTTTGTAATCATTTTTTAAAAACTGGAAATAGCTTTCACACATCTACTTTTAGGCATCTAGTAATATAAGTTAAAGTGAATTATTTAACTCACTGATGTAGCATTTCCTTACCTTAAGCTTATCTATGGTCTTAAAATGAAATGAAATTGCTCATGAGATGCCATTACTTTAATGTTTACTTAAATACTTTTTGTTCACATTTAAGGATTTCAAATGCATATGCACAGCGAGATGGGTAAGTTTCCAATTTTTAGTAATCTGCTTAAAGTTTTGTGATCTTCTGTTTTAAGGTATAGGAACTGATTCTTACTAGAAAAATGGGAAAACCTTATTGTGAATTGGAAAAGAAAGCTGAAGAACTAGACTCAGAAAGGCACATGGGACACTTCAGCTTGCCCTGTGTAACTTGAATAAACCTCAGCCAAAAAACATCTAATTAGCTGTATTTCGATTTTATCCTTGTGACAAAGTTAAAGACAGTGGTTGCTAATCCCACTGAAATCCTATCCAAAGGGGTTATGAGTTAATTCTCAAAAAAATGGAGAACAGATAAAAATCAAGATGGTGATGTCCTGACTTTTCTTATGTGCGAAAATATGGGAATTATTACTTCAAAGTTTTCAATGGCGCATTATTGCACTCAGTGTCATCTAACGAGCATTTGTAGGATCCTTACTTGATTTCTTCTCAAATACTGGTCTAGTCAAGTTTCTTCTGAAAATCTAGACGATTTTAAAAATAGTTACAAATGATCACACTCCTATCAAATAAGCTGCCTTGGTCCATGTCCCTTCACGCCCAGATTTTGGCCTATATACCAACTCTAGCTATGTTATCTTCTCATCTGAGTTTAGGCTTACTCAACTTTCAAATTCACTTCAGACATTCATTTGGCAGTTAAGTTTATAGAAGTGACCTTTGTTTACCACAAAGAAAAAATTTTTTTCTGGTGATCTGCAACACAGCAAACTTCAATACAATATAGTTTACTAACATCTAGTTTGAAATCCATAAGATTTGTTTCTAGTCTTGTTCTCCTTTTACCTAGCTGTGTGAACCTGGCCTATTTACTTATCACCCATTAGTTCCTTCCTCTGTAAAATATAGAAACTGATACCTCTAACAATAAAACTGAATAATGGCCTTTTCCATTAATATCAAGCAAGTTAACAATACTGTACATATTCTTGAAGTAAGGAGACAGCTGATGTTTAAAAATTCAAAACAGCTTAGTGTGGTGTCTGGCTTCCCAGTATTTTTCTACATATACTGTATACATACTCATTTTTGGTTGGTAAAATTGACACATCATTACATTACTCTTTGGAAACCTACAAGTCTGAAAAGAGTTGAAGACGACCATGTTAAGTAAGTTTTCAGTTATTTAACGTAGAGTTCCATGAACTTAAAACCCTTAGACAAGTCTAAAGGGAAAGTTAAACCCATGCTCAGAATTCAGTTTCGAAGGTGGAAGCAAAAAGAAGGAAAGTATGCCTGCCCTCCTGTGCTTTAGTGAGGTGAGCAGACAAGCAACTGAAAAGGACAGTCTCGCACTCACTGACTCCTTCTGGAACATGCTAGTCTTCCTGTCTTTTTTAAATCCCACTGACTGCGTCTGAGGGCCATGGCTCAAGTCCGATTTCTGGCCTCGGCCTCGATTCTCCATCTTGCTCAGCTTCCCAGTGAGCTACCACGACTCCTTTCAGTCCATGGCCAAAGGACTCAGCTGCCCCGTAAAAAATTTGAAGTATCGCGCCTGCACTGCGCGCGGCCGGAAATGACGCCTTGGTCAGCAAACGACCGGAAGCAGAGCTGTGTGATGTGCGCAGCTCTGTGATGTGCGCAGCTCTGTGATGTGCGCGGCTCCGCGGCACAGCGGACTGGGGTGTGATGTCATCAGCGTGAGCCTCGGGCCGGGCCCTGACTTGATGGAGGTAGGGCGTGTCCTGAGGGACGTCAGAGCAGGGTACTAGAGAGGCAGAACAGCGCTTGCCCTTATGGGTTGCGTTGGCCCATGTAGATGAAGGGCTCGCTGACCAGTGTGCAGGCGGAGCCTGGGGCTGCCCCACAAGAGGGCTTACTTGTTTTCCTCCGCGGATATCTGTGGTCCGGGGTGAGGGCAGTTTTGCTGGGACCTGGAAGCTCACTGAGAGCCCTGTTGACCGCTGCTCTCGGAGGGCAGCGTTCTGTCCTTGTCACAGTGGAGGTCGAGAGGCGGAGATGGGCGGAGGAAGAGCCAGGCTGCCTCGCTGTTCTGGGCAGGTGTTCGGAGCAGCAGCGTGGTGGGTCTGTCGTGCGGGTGGCTAACTTCCGCTTCCAGGTGGAGACAAGCATGTTTTCACAGACCTAGAGACAGCTTACAGAACTGTATGATGGTAGTAGTCATTCCCCCAAACCAAAAGGGGTGGAGCCTTGGAGACCCGAGTTTCAGCTCAGAGTGGGAGCCAATTATTCAATAAGTTATTTATTGTGGACAGGGGCATTGCTATGTCTTGGGGACTCGACTTCGTGTAAAGAATAGTCTGACAGTACAGATGAGGTTGGGGCAGCCATATTAGGCTCAGTTTTCTACACTCACATGTTCCATAAAAATGTTTGTTTTGATAACTGGGATAGGAAAGGAATACCGAAAGGAATAATACAACATTCATGAAACTCATTGAGGGTCTGTGAACTTCTATATTAACAAATTTGATCAATAAAATGATTTTAAGTCTTTAAACATTTGTTTTAAAACACATAAATTACCTTTAATATTTAATTGCAGTGCTTTACTCATACAGCTGTCGTGTTATCCAGAAAACCTAACAGCAGTCACACTTAAGTACATTCTATATTGAGATTTAATTTGTGACTTAGATATACAGTAATTATTGTTCTTTCCTATAAACTGCCTTTTATGTTTTATATTTCAGATTTTAATAGAGGATCCTGTTACCACATGTCTTTCTCCCTCTGTATATGACATGATTTGTAAACTTGGGTTTGAATTCAAGGAAAATTGTGATATTAATAGCATTGTAAATCACAATGGTGAATTATGCTGGAAGACAATCACAAACTGTGTGAGCTATACAGATCCAGGTTTGTACTGCTTTTGTACCCTGAACTCTAGTTAGTACTCTTCTATTGAAAATATCTTGAGTTGGTTTTTTTTGTTTGTTTGTTTTTTGGTACCAGGGATCGAACTTGGGTCCTTGCGCTTGTGCAGCAGGTGGCGAAACCACTGAGCTAAATCCCCCAGCCCGTGAAAATATCTTGACCTTTCTAACCATTGCTTTTTATTTTTGTTATGTTATAATTCAAGCCTAGCTCAAATGGAAGAAAGAAGAAAGTGTGAAAAGAGAGGGTTATGCTAGGCTGAGAAAACTGTGATGGGCTGCTGGTGTAGATCTCAGAGCCCTGAGACAATTGTCTGTAGAAGTCATGTGAATTAAGGGTATGGAATGATTACTGGTAGATTATGCAGTCATTTTAAATGTCTTCCAAATATTGTACTTTTTTGGGAAAGGGATATGGCCTGGTGAATTTAGTAATAGTTGTAATAACTACAAATGAAACTCCTGTGGCCCACTAATTCCATTTCCAAGAATTAATAAGGTAGTTGTGCTTGCAGATAGGAAGGTGTGTGTGTAAGGCTATTGTTTGCCGCACTGTCTTGGTGGAAGAAACAAGTCAGTAATTGAGAAACAGCCAGACTTCAAGCATTAGGGTATTGATTCAGTACGTTCTGATAAATACGTACATTGGGCAGCAATAAAAAGGAATGAAAAGGCTCATCTGATGAGAATTTCTCCAAGTGAAAAAAAATAGAAGCACATAGTTATATTTGCTTGTATGTGTGTAAATATTTGTAAATATATACAGGAAATAACACTAGTTACAGAGTTGGGGGGGGCAAGTGGGAGACTTTCACCCTTCTATGTTTTTCATCATGAACAATGTGGATGGTCAACCCCAAACTTAACAAAACAATAAAGATAAAAATAAAATCCATTGTATAAATATTTTCTCAAATAATTCATTGACATTAGACGTCTCCTGGTCTAATTGTGATAAGTTAAAAAATAAAAAGGTTCCAGTGTTATATACAATAATTCCTCTTTATCCTAGGAGCATACCTTTCAATGCCATCTATGTCAGTGGATGCCAAAATAATGCATATCACTGAATATATAGTGTGTTTTTCCGATATGCTGTGCAGTGTTGCCATGTGGTACCACATGTGTCTTAAGTTTTGTGCCCTGGTGCTTCCTTTGCATCACTTATAACTTTTGTAGTTTGAGCCCATAGTTAAGTAAGAATTACTTGAACATGGGCACTGTGCTGCTGTGTGATAGTTGATCTACTAAATGAGATGGCTATTAAATGCCTAATGGTTGGGTAGTGTTTACAGTGTGGATGCACTGAACGAAGGGATGAGTGGGGCAGTGTCAAATTTTATCATGCTACTTAGAACACATAATTTCAGGAGGATGGATTATTTATAAAACTTCCATTTAGTATTTTTTGTACCACTGCTGACTGGGTAACTAAATGAAAGTTCAGATAAGAGGAGACTGGTATACAGTGTGAATCTGATTTCGTGTGAATTTATATGCAACTAATGACACTGAATAAAGTATTTTCTCCTGTTTGAGTATTTACAAACTATACTGATAATTTTTCTTTTATGGTAAGATCAACATCATGTAATTTATTTCCAATGACATATTTATCATATGCTCGGTTATAAGCTGATTGTTGATTTTGTGGAAGTTTGATAATTAAAGCACTTTTTTCTTTGATGATTTAGACATTTTTCATCATGTGATATGGAGCTGTGGTACTATAATATTTGTTTTCTCATCTTTTAAGACCAAAGTCTCAATTACTGGGAAAGTGTGCTGCAGCTGGGCCCCGTGTGTGAAGCCATCCATTTACATTTCTTATCTCTGACCAAGGGGCAGTTTGAAATTCAGTATGCACCATGGTTCCAGTGGACAAGTTTTCCAGAGGTTTGGCTTTTGAATACCTTTAGAAATAAAAGACTTGGCAAATACCACTCAGACATTCTCATTACTTGCCTTTTTAAAAGTTCAGGTCTCTATCCCTGGGCCCTCCCTCTGCAGAAGTCTTAGGGGATTGTGAGAGAAACATGAGTTACTGCACAAGGTCTCCAAAACCAGAGCTGAGGAACATATTCCTTTGAACAAAGGCAACTTTTGGATTCATAGGTTTAGGAGTTGCAGAGGTTGTACTTGATACAAAGATGCTTATTCTGGGAATAAGCATCTACCATTCATGGTAGAAGCTCACAGTGGAGGAGCAGTGCTTGCCTCGTGGTGCCCAGGAAGCAGAGAGAGGAGTAGGGTCTAGATCTCAATACCCGCTTCAAGGGCATTTTCCCAGTGACCTCTCTTCCTCCAATCCCCACCTGGTAATGGTTGAACCACCTCCCAGTGGCACCACAGACTAATGACCATGCCTTTAGCTCGTGGACTTATGGGAGAGGACAGTTAAGATCCAAACCATAGCATTCTTTTCCTCTCTGGTTTTTTTGTTTGTTTGTTTGTTTGTTTGCACTGAGATACATCCTCAAGCCCTTTAAATTTTTATTTTGAGGTAGGGTCTCAATAAGTTGCCCAGGCTGGACTTAAATTTGTGATCCTCTTGCTTTAGCCTCCCAAAGTCCTGGGATTAGAGGGGTGTGCCACCAGATCAGGATTCTGTATTTGTAATAGCTCTTTTAAGTGTGAGGTGAGCTGCCTTGTATTTATCTAGCATTAGGAACCATCTAAATCATAATGGGAAGTAAAATGTAGGTGAAAATATTAGACTTTTCAGTTCATAATTTTGCCAGATTTTTTCAATTTGCATTTAAAGAATTTTCAAAGAAATTTTTAGATATTAAAATATTTTTCTTGATTCTTTAGGCATTGTAATATTTGAATTAAAAAATTTACTTATACAGAAAGTTAAAACAGCATTTGAAATATTTAGAGATTTGAATTTCAAATGAGTAGTATTGCTATTTTGAGGAATACTGAGTATGAATTCTTTTTTTTTTTTTGGTACTGGGGATCGAACTCGGGTCCTTGCGCTTGCACAGCAGGCGCCAAAACCGCTGAGCTAAATCCCCAGCCCCTGAGTATGAATTCTGACATGTATCTTGTAGCTATTTCCCGAAGTATTTGATGCCTTGGGAAGCCTACACTCTGCTGCCATTTCTCTGAGCTTAATGAAGCTGACCTCATGTCTGGAGCGAGCTCTGGGTGACGTAAGTGTGAGGACTCTGCTTACAGCCCATTACATTTTTTGGATAAATATGAAACAGTTGCCTTCAGATTTGTTGATTTTATCATTGTTTTCCTATAAAATACAATAATTTGGTACAGATTTTCAATATTTTTTGAATGATTATGAAATGACTTGTTTCTGAATATTTTTCTCATTTGTACAACAGTTGCTATATGGATAATGTTCTTAGCATTAATTGACTTGTTATAGTGTAATTGCTCTATATTTCTTGTTTGAATTTTAGGCATTCTTGCTAATTGGGAAAGAATGCCCCTTTCTTTTAAGAGATCTACTTGCATCTGAGGAGCTTGCTCACATCTTTGGGCAGCCTGTGGTAAGCTTGTTCATCTAAAATTTACAGAATAACACCACAAACCTGGTGACATTAATTGATGCCACTGTGTTTCCCTTTCTATCTTCCCTTTCAGAAAACCCCCTTTTCCACCCACACTGAAGGTGTTCCCACCCTGAGCCTCACCATGGGAGAATAACCTCTGAGAGCCAGTCAGAGGGACAATTTCAGCCATTTTGCTTAGATCCATTACATATTTGTAATAGTAACTCAACACAGAGAAAGTTTTAACCCTTTAAAGAATGATATTGTGGTTTTGTCCTAAAATATCAATGTTTATAACATGGCAATTATGCTTCTTGCAACCATTCATACTTATCATGAAAACATTTAGAAGTGACAAGAAATGGTAGAGCCATACACTTTTTTAGTCTTCTAGCAGATATATAAACAGGATGCTCTTTCTTTTGTCCCTCCCATTTCTGGGGATTGAAGCCAGGGCCTTTACAGTGAGCTACATCCACAGCTCATTTTTAAATTTTGAGCCAGGGTCTTGCTAAATTGCCCAGATTAGGCTTGAATTAGTGATCCTCCTATCTCAGCCTCTCAAAGTGCTAAGATTATAGGTCTTTGCCACCACACTGGCTAGAGACTTAAGACTAATGGATAACTGATGGGCAGCTGAATGACGCAGGCCACACTGACAAGGAAGCCAGGACAGCCTCCTGCAGAAAACTGTGCTTGCCAAACTAGTAAGCAGCCAGATTCATTATGTGAAGATGAGAAATTGCCATCAGCAAACTGTCTCACTCTTGATAGTGTTACTACTTTATGCCAGCCAAAACTGTTGGCTCTGTTAGCTCTAAGGGAGAAAGCAAATGTTATCTCAGTATTGCACTGGTTTTTTCAACAATGCAGTGGTGATGTAACCTTTCAATGATTTGCTTTCCAACTGGGTTAGATGGATGTGCTCAAAGTCTTCATTGGCTCACCCTGTGGACTCAACCTACGGAATATCCTGTGGCATGGGTTTGCATCACCTCAAGAAATTCCTCCAAAGTAAGCTGCTGAGTTTCCTTTTCTGATCTACCCATGAGTTTATTTTACCTTCAATTTCATAAGAGGGAAAGATGTATTTTGTGAAAAGCAAGAGAGAGGGTTTGTTTGTTTGTTTAGAGACTGGTCTCCCTAAGTCACTAAATTGCCCCAGCTGGGCTCAAATTTGTGGTCTTTCTGCCTCAGCCTCCCAGAATACTGGGATTACAGACATGTGCCACCAAGCCTGGATAAAAATGAGAGAGTTTGAGACAGAATTATGAAGATCAAGTTGCACATTAATAACAGTTACTAGAGTGGTGACAGTGTGGTTTAGGTACTTTAAACTCAAAGGCCATTGAGAAGACATAGTGACATAGTGACCCATATACACAGGCCTGATAGAAGCCTCAGGAGTTTCTGAGATATTGTTATCCCTCCCAACCTTTGTACAGTTTAGTTTCTTCATCTAAGTGGAATTTTTTGCAATTTGATAGTATGTTGCTTTGTTAATATAAAGCCTTCTGTATGTGTGACTGTGTTCATTCTTCTAATATGTCTGTGGTATTTTCTCCTAGATACTGTTCAATGATCCTGTTATTGACAGCAGGATTGGGTCAGTTACTTGAGAGTTACTTTCAGGAAACTAAAGTCACATTGGTTCATCGATCTTTTGTAACTCTTACAAACTTAGAGGATTTGATTGTTTTTCCTGGCAAGTACTACATTTAATGTTTTCCCCTTTGTATATCATTGTGAAGATATTTGTAAAGCTATTCAGTAGCATCAAGACTTGAATTCTTGAAGTGTACTAAAGCAGTTTTTCTCCAGTAACAAGATAGCCTTGAGATGTTTAAGAATTCATTAAACATGACCCCTTCCCACCACTCTGGGACTACTGTGGGGACTTAACAGTCGTGGCCACCTGAATTAGCATCACGGTAGAGCTAGGCTTTGACATGCCAAAGCCTTAGGGTTGTTTATAGTATACATTATTTTTTCTCTTTTTCCCTACTGTGCATTGTACTCACAATCATGCCCCCAGTAACTATAGTATAAAGGGTCTCCTGAATTTTCTGAAAACATGTTTCTCTTGGTCATTGTGCTCAGCTGTTTGAACCCTGAACCCTGACCCTGAACCCTGCTCAGAGTTATCATCTGAGTTACCGTAGAGACACACTTGTTCATGTCCCCACTAACAGCTCCCTGGCCACTGCACTATGGCTGTAAAACAGGTTTCTTTGTCTTTGAGCAATGGACTGCCATGGGATCATGGTTCATCTGCCTGAAGTGGTTGGCTTTTTGGCATCTCTCCCTAGTTACACTGATTAGTGTCATTGTGTTAAAGATATTTGCTTTTATTTTTGCAGACATTACTTATAAGATACTTTCAGTATTAGAAGAAATGATGACAAAATCTACCTTTATATCAAAAATCATGGTACCATATTGGGAAATTGCACTGATGAAGTTCAAGGCACACAGGTAATGGAAGGGTGGCGCAACAGGGTGGCTGAGGGCCAGGTCTTTTCAGTGCCCTTAACTGTTCTTGTGTTTTTGATGTTAAGGTAGAAGTAAACATATGGGGCTCACTCAAGAGTAGACCAAACATAAAATACCTTCATATAATTACTTAAAAGACAGCTTATAATAGTGTTTGATGCATTAGGTGCTATCCTGTTGGTACTGATACAATTTTTTTGGTAGTGTTTGGGATTGGAGACAGAGCCTCTCTAAATCACTAAGTTGCCCAGACTGGGCCCACACTTGCAGTCCTCCTGCCTCAACCTCCCAGAGTGCTGGATTTACTGGTTTACACTAACATACCTGACTTTAATATTTGTTTTCCAGATTTTTTTTGAGCCTTTACTAAAAGAGAAATTTTTGGGCTGGAGGGGGCGGACCGGGGATCAAACTCGGGATCTTGCGCTTGCGAGGCGGGCACCGGAACCACCGAGCTAAATCCCCAGCCCCAAAAGAGAAATATTGAGTCCAGAATTAGAGAATCATTGAAACACAGTCAAGTAAGCTTAGTCATCAACCTGCCTCAGGAACAAACCTGTGCAAGAGCAAACCATGTGTGACATAGAGAGATGGGGGACAAAGGAGTTGGTCTTTGTTCCTTCTCAGGTGACCTCATCCTGGTACATTGTGTGGTGTTTAGTTTTCAAAAGTGATGGAAAAACTTAGGTAGATCTTTGATGATATGTTACTCTACTGAAGCTACTAAAAAGTGTTCATCAAATACTAGAACACCGGAAAGTGCTTTTAAACTTACTAGTCTTATGGAACTTCGATTGTTTTTATATTACCAAGAAGTGTAACTTCTTTCTTTTGATACCACATTTGTTGTTTCTGGCCTATAGCATACTCATTGTGTTAATCATACTGTTATTTATTTTTAAAATATGAAGTTTTAATGATTTTTCCTTCAATTTCGCAGGTTTGCTGACTGCGCCATATTGTTATTGACACAGCTGGAGGCTGGGCTTAGGAGAGTTTTTGCTGCAGTTAACAAATGTCCAGACAGACTCTTGACCGCCGAGGTACACACTCTTCTCTTATTAGATATGATTGCTTTTGCTGTAATGACAGTTATTTGGTGGCTAACTAAAAATTTTAAGAACTATTCATCTCATTCTCTTTGCCATTGTAGTGAATTTTTAGCTAAGAATTTTCTTTGGAAGGCTTCCCTATCATTTTTTTGTGGCTTTTTATCATAATGATTTTATAGTGTTTACATTCATAATAATTATCTTTTTTTTTTTTTTTTTGGTACCGAGGATGAAACTCAGGACCTTGTGCTTTTGAGGCAGGCAGCCGCACCACTGAGCTAAATCCCCGGCCCCTATAATTATCATTATTTTGGGTATATTTCTAAATACTCTTTTAAGCTTCATGAAAGTAGTAAGCACTGCACTCTCTGAAGCCATGTCAGTGCCCATCATTTTAACCCTATAAGACATTCATGGCCTGCAGTGTTGGTGCCAGGTAGTGGCTGTTTAATCGAGGACCTATGTGCTGGTGACTCTCACCATACACACCATAGCAGACCTGGGCTTGAGCTTGACTTTAAGCAAGTAATGAGTCCTGAGCTTCAGTTTCTTTTGTCTGGAAAAAAAGAAAGGTGTACCTTTCAAGAAAGTTGTACGATTTAGAGATGGTTTGTATAAAATATTGTGCCTACCATAAGGTTTCCCCACCTCTCCTTCCACATGCGCACAAACACACATGCGCAGACAGCCAGGCACAAATACATGAATGGTGCACACAGGCATGTGCACATTCACTGTTGATTCAGAGACCCTACAAGTCCTTGGCTACTCTGTCTGAGCCAGATGTCTCTTCCAGTTTCCAGCCTCCCTCCTCTGCCTTGTAGAATCTCTCATTTCTGCATCCTCGTAATAGTGATTTTGCTGCTAGTAACAGAGATCACCAAGTAACGTGACTGCAGTGATGAAAATAGAAGTGCATCCCTGCCTGTCGTGAATGTGAGCAGACTGAGATGGCAGTGTCCCCACTGCCAACACTCAACATTCCGTCTTCCTGAGCATGCTGTGCCTACCTGAACAGGTGACTTCTTCCTCATGGCTCCTACCAGCTACATTTGCCATCTCATCTGCATTCCACCAAAGAGGAAGGAATGCATGCCCACTCCTATAGGAAACTTCCTAGTGGTGGACGCACTGCTTCCCCTTGGCCACAGCTCAGTTGCAGCTCACTGCCAAGGAGGTGGGGAAACGTTTCTCTACGGCCATGTACTGGCTTGCCATGGGAGAATGTGCTGCTACTAGAGGGAAGGGTATGCATATATGGGATGAACACAGCATCTGCCACTAGTTTAGCTTCTCTGTGTAAGCATTCCTCAAAACTACTCAATCGAGATTTTCACCCTGGGAGAGCTCACACAGTCCCATGCCATAAGTTATTACCTCTTTAGGAACAACAGTAATAAAAAATTTTGAACCTCACAAAATTAAAACCAGTATACCAGAAGTTCTCATATACATGTAAAGCAACACCACTAATGTTTTATAATATTAAATGCCAAGATTCTCTGAGGCATTGTTTCTGACATTTCTTAGATCTCACGAGTTAGGTTTTACCCGTTTGCTGAATATTTTCATATGTCTTTTCCCTGGTATTTCATGTCAACTTTATTTAAAAAGGCTTATCCTTTCCTACAGTTGTGTTATCAGGTATTCTTGCTGTTGTTTTCTTCATCATCTTAGTTTTCATTGTCACCAGACTCTAGTTTCATTGTGTTTTCCCTGGACAACTTGCTCCTCATCCACTCTGACCACATCTGGCCATTTCCTCCCAACAAGAAAGAGCTGAGACCTCATTCCTCACAGCTCACTTGATTTCCCTGTACTCGGATGGAGGGCATCATGCTCAGTGCCTGCATGGCCATGTGAAATCAATAGATTCTGTTGTGTATTTGTTATTTGACTACACAAATGAATAACATGCCTGTTTGCACACGGGTATAGTTGACCAAAAAATATCATAAGTTTTAGCTCAGGCTTTTATCTAGAAGAAACTATCACTTTATAAGATTATACATATGTGAAGATGTTTCTTAAACCTCTTAGTACCATTATTATTTATTGAATACTTTTTGTGGCATACAATCTCTTCAAGCTCCAAGAGAGATGAATTTAGTAAGACTAGATTAGCATTCCCTTACTGTAACAAAAGCCAGGGGTAATCAACTAATAAAGAGAAAAGGTTTATTTTTAGCACACACTTTGAGGTTCCTGTCCATGATCATTTACCCCATTGCTTTTGGGTCAATAGTAGCACATTCTGGCAGGAGCCTGAAAGCAGCCACTCCCAGGAAACAAAAGAGTGAAGAAATTGAAGTGCCCCAATTCCCTTTGAGGGCATGCTTCCAGGGACCCAGAGATGTCACACAAACCCTAGCTCTCTCAAAGACTCCACTACTTCTCAATAGTGCCATGCAGGAGACCACACCTTCAACATAAGAGGCCTTTGAAGGACTCTTAGATGCAACTATAAGCAAAGATTTTCTGACCTTTTAAAAGAACTGCTAGATAAAAACATAAAAACTGTTTGTATTAACGGGGTACCATCTGGTGTTTTTGACAAAGTATACATTGTGTAATGTTCAAATCAGGTTAAACATGTCTGTATCCTCAAACATCATTTCCTTAGAGTAAAACTCTTAGGGTTTAGATCCACAATGTCCCCCAAAAGGCTCATATATTCAGAGATGGAGCTTTTGAAAGGTGATTAGATCGGGGTGGTGTTATACTCTTCAGGGGATTCATCTGTTTATTAGTTCATAGCTGAATGTGCTATTAGGAGGTGGGAGCTAGTTGGAGGTGGGTCACTGGGGGTGTAACTTGGAAGGGTACATCTTGTCCAAGGCTCCTCCCTTCTCCCGCTCTTTCTGCTTCTTGGTTGCCATGGGTTGAGTAGTTTTCTTTTGCCTTATCTCTCCACCATGCCATTTCTGCCTTGAAGCCAGCCAACTATGCATGGACTGAACCTTCTGAAACCATGACCAAAACAAACCTGTTCTTTAAGTTTATGGTGTTGGGTATTTTGTCCCAGTGATGGGAAAATGACTGATAAAATTCCTAAATCCTTTACTCTAGCTTTTTGAAATATATAGTACATCATTGTCTATGTCACCCTAGTGTGCAGTAGCACACTAGAATTTGCCTAACTGTAACTTTTAGTACCTATTGACCAACTTTCCCCCACCTTCCCATTCCCCTTCATCTACTCTCTCTAGCCTTCACCAATCACCAAATTCTACTCTCAACTTTATGAGTTCAACTTTCTTTTTATTCCACGTATGAGTGAGGTCATAAGGTACTTGTTTTTCTGTGCCTGGCTTATTTTACTTACCATAATGATCTCAGGTTCTATCCAAAGTCCCATGGCATCATTTCATTCTTTTCTGTGGCTGAATAGTATTCCAGTGTTTATATGTTTATATGTACACATTAATGGATGCATAGGTTTTTATCCATGTCTTGGCTGTTGTGAATAGTGCTACAATAGAGTGCAGAGTTCTCTTCTACATATTCTATCAGTTTCATTTCCTTTGGATCTGTACCCAGGAGTGAGATTGCTGGATTGTATGGTATTTTCATTTTTTGAAGAAGCTAGGTACTGTTTTCTTCGATGGGTGTGCTAATTTACATTTCTACCAACTGTATGCTAGCATTCTCTTTTCCCAACATCCTGCCAGCACTTGTTATCTTTTGTCTTTTTGATAGGAGCTATCCTATTAGAGTTAGGTGATGCATCACTGTGGTTTTGATTTGTATGTCCTTGATAATTTAGTGATGTTGAACACTTCTTCATATACTTATTGGGTACTTTTGTGAAATGTCTATTGTACATTTTAAAATTGTGGCTTAAAATTTTCTTTTCTTTTGAGTTTTGCTTTAGTTCCTTATATATTCTGGTATCAACCCCTAGTCAGATGTGTAGTTTGCAGTTGTTTTCCTTTGCTGTGCAGAAGCTTTTGAGCTTGATATAATCCCCTTTGTTTTTGCCTTTGTTTCTTGTGCTTTTGGGGTCTTGACCAAACCTCCTTGCCAATTCCAGTGTCCTGAAATATTTCCTTTATGTTTTCTTCTAGTTTTCATGGTTTCAAGTCTTGCATTTAAATCTATAAGCCATTTTTAGTTAAGTTTTACAAACAGTGAGAAAGAAAAGTGTAGTTTCTTCTGCATGTGGATTTCTAATTTTCTCAGGCTGACTTTTATGGGCTTATTACAGAAGAGAGAGAAGACATTTGTACTAATTTGTATAAAAATAAATAGCAAATAGTATGGATAGTTTATGGAGATAAATGAAAAATTTATCTTTTTGAGAAAGTGGTGATATTTAGTAGACAACTGTATATTTAGGATTTAGCTCAGGAAAATTGATTTAGGGCCAGCAACACTGGCTTGAGACCTACAGATACCAATTTTAGAATCATCTTCATAGTAATAAATATTGAAGGACATTTGATAATACAAATTGAGCATCCCTAGTCCAAAAATCCAAAATCTTTGCTGTAAAATATAAAACTTTCTGAGTGTTGACAAGATCCCACAAGTGGAAAAATCCCATATCTGACCTCATGTGTTGGGTGTGATCCAAACACAAGTACACTAACAACATGTATAAAACCACCTACTGGCTGTGTGTATAAGGTATACATGAAACATAAATGAGTTTCATGTTTAGACTTGAGTCCCAGCCCAAATATCCCAAAATCAAAAAACCCCAAATCTGAAATACTCTGTTCCCCAACATTTTAGGTAAGGGCCATTCAACCTGAATTAAATTAAAAGCATGTCATTAAGCAATAATAAGAAAATATTTCTCAGGGCTGGAGTTTTAGCTCAGTAGCACCATGCCTTCCTTACAAGTGCAAAGCCCTGAGTTTGATCCCTGGTTCCGAAAAAAAAATTTCTCAAGTACTGGCTTACACAAAATACTGATTTATCACACTGTGTAAGTATTACTGCCTTCTCCCAGAAGCCTTTGGAGGCAGCCTTATACAGACCCACATTTCCTGAGAAAACCTGAGTCCGTGGGGTTAAATAATTGCCCAGGATCTCACTTCTTGAAGGTGATAAGGTTGGGATTAGCACTCTGAGGAGCATGGCCTGGAGTCTGTGATGATCATATCAAAATGCAGGTAACACAAACAGAAAATTCTAAATTATACTCACTTGTGCACAAATACCAGCCATCAGTAGAATAGTGTTTGTGTGGGCAATGATTTGTGATAGTCTGCAATCATAAACTTTAAAAATAACTGAGCTAAAGGACTTGTAAAAACAATGTTCTAACATGCCTGGACTGTCAGATTAAATGAATTTTCATGTTTGTGTGTGTGTGTGTGTGTGTGTGTGTGTGTGTGTGTGTGTGGTGCTAGGGGTTTAACCCAGGGCATTGTGCATGGTAACCAAGCACTGTACCACTAAGCCATACTTCCAGCACTTGTCTTTTATAATGTATTTATTTTTTTTCCAAAGTCCATTTGAAAGTTCATTTTCACCAAAGGTGGAAGAGAAGCCACAGACAAGACAGACAGAAGGAGTGGGTGGCAGTACAAGGCCTCTGCTCAAACAAGCAAGAGCAGTATTTCTTGTGATGCCTTGGAAAAGTTTGTTTCCAAGCATGGACAACCAGGTCCTTTCCTCCGAGGAGGATGAGAATAACAGAGGTGGTTTCACTAGGCACCGGCACCTCCCCGCTTTGTGGTTTCAGCTTTGTGACTATGAGACTTTTTCCTTACTTTGAATGATATTAGTCTATTGTATTCTGCTTTAATTATTTCTTATTTCTTTTCTTTTCCACAGTCAACAACTCTTTATACCACCTTTGATGAAGTAAGTACACTTACAAGGCAATTTAAGATAAAATATTATCTTCTTTTAAAATGCAAATTAAAATACAAAGTTATTGACCATAAGTCATACACTTACAGGAAAACATTGATAGTAATATAAGCAAAAAAGTGTTTAAATATACTTTCAGGTTAATTTTGAGACCTGATGTTCTAGTTTCTAAAGTTATACAAAACTCAAAATTTGGAAAACACCAAAGATATTGACATTTTTGGCTATACTTAGAGATGTACATTTTACATATAGAATTAATGTTTGTATGCAACATATGCCTCAGCTATTGCTGTTTGTTTATAGTGTGTGCTGATGTCTTTAATCTGCACATTGGGGATATGATTCTAAAAGTGAAAACCCAGAAGAGAAAGAATTAGAATTGAAAATGTCTTGTATCACCCATGGAGTGTAGAGGCTTCTAGGTGTGTAATCTTGCGTGGTAATTCTCCTGTACCTGAGCAGTGACAGCACAGGACTGTTGCGAAGGCTACAGTAGAGCTTTGGGCATTTGGGTCGTTTTGCCTTACAGTGACTATACAACTCCTAAGTGACTGTGCAGTGCAGAGTTAAAAATGTACCTGCCTGCTTGCAGGTTTATCCCATTGGTAAATGATTTGCTGTCAATGCATGATGCATATGGTAATGTAAGGATTAAGTTACATATGTAGTCTAATAAATCAGCATTGGGTTAGTGTCCAGGATTGGGTCAGGGCTCTTGGGCTTTAAAGTCCCAAGTGCTATCAGTTTTAAGGTAATGCATCGGGACATCAGACACAAGCACACGCACACACACAGTCACAATGTTCAGTTAAAGGATAGGGTAGGTTTAGCATAACATGTTATATTAATTATAAGCAATTAAAATGAAATATGAAGAGTCTTAAAATCATAGCAGTCACCATTCAGAAAAACTGTTTGCAACCAGTATAATGGCATTGAGAATGTGTGTATTTTACTTTAGTGTGTGTATGTGTATAAAAGAGACAGTGTTGGGGGTGTGTGTATCAGTTTAACAGTATATTTCTTTATTTTTGGTGTTTTAGATTCTGGCAAAACATTTGACCAGTGGTAGAATCAACCAGCTTCCTCTTTTTCTCGGAGAGCCTGCTATGGTAAAGTGCTAGGTATTTCCCAGTCTTGTACTCTCATGCTTATGAATGTGTTTGTACTTTCCAGCAAGAAATCGATGTGGGCATGCTCAGGAGCAGCCCTAGGCCCCTGCTGAGCTTTCTGCCTTAGTCTTTGCCACAGAGCTTGTGCTATGACTCAGCTGGGGCACTCTGCTTGATGCTGGGCATTTGGATCCTATTTTAAGCTCTGGCGACTTAGCTGCCTTGTTCCTAAGCAATAGTGCATTTGTTGCTTATATGTGTTTGTGCTGTAGAAGTTTGTGTATTTACTTTGTGAAATATAACAATAGTCAAATTTGACAAAGAAGATGGAGTATTGGATGGAAAAGAATTTATTTAGAGCCAATTTGTATTTCTCAGGGTTTTTTATATTTTATGAAGCTATTGCAGACTGTTTTGGACTGCAAATAGACATTTATTCCTTATGAGAGTTAGCAGACCTACATTCTGGTTACTAGATTCCTTATCTCACTGGGCATTTGCTCCTGCCACCAGAAAGCAGGATGGCTGAACCAGTTCATCTGATATTTTTTTCGACTTTGAGTCTCTGGGACTCTCTGTTTATTGGCAGTGTGCCCAGGTCAGCAGTTTTCTAACCTCTTTACTCTGTAACCTGAGAAAGAGGCCTTGGGAGTATGTTGTTAAAGGAAGAAGCAGCTGTCTTCATCAGCTTCAAAGATGGAAGAAGGGCCACAGACAAGCCAGGAGGAAGGAGGCAGTGGTACAAGGACTCTGCTCATGCCAGCAAGAGCAGTGTTTCTTGTGTTGCCTTGGAAATGTTTGTTTCCAAACATGGACAGTTTGGAGAAAAGTTTGTTTCCAAACATAGGCAGTCAGGTCCTTTCCTTGGAGGATGGTGAGAATAACAGAAATGGTTTCACTAGCACTTGAACCTCCCAAGCGCCTCTTGTTCCATCCTGCCTGGTGCTTGGAGGGAGCAAGGGCTCCCAGTAAGAACCTGCAAGGCTCACTTTCCCCAGAGTTTCACACATGTGCCAGGTGCCCCCCTGCTCTGAGCCTTGCACTTGTCCGTCCTTCTGCCTGGAACACTAACAAAACCTTTTCTCTCGGTTCTCTAAAAGGAATTTCTCTGGGATTTCCTGAACTATCAGGAGGGTCCCCGTATACGTGATCGCTTAAGCCATGGGGAGATCAACTTCTCTGAATTTCCAAAGGAAGCAGCAAGTCAGTTGCTCGCATTTTCCGTTGTACTGTTACTAAGATTCTCTGATGCAGCAGTGCTTGCAACTGTTAAGGTAATGCACAGGGCAGAGAGCCATCAGTGGGACCACTGTCAATCAGCAATAGAAGAATATATTTTATTTTTCACATGTAGTTAACTCTTGTTTTTGGTACTGGGGACCAAACTCGGTTCCTTGAGCTTGTGAGGCAGATGGCGGAAACACTGAGCTAAATCTCCGGCCCTTTAATTAACTCTATCATCTTTTATTTGATTTATAGTATCCTTCTACCAGCACAAGTGTTTGTGAGTCGATAACATGCATGTATCAATCAATGCCGTTAAAAATAAAGTAATTTAATTCATTTCTTACGTACATGTGCCTTTGTTTTCAGCAGCAGCATGGTATTAAAAAGCAAAGAACATAGGGCCAGGGATTTAGCTCAGTGGTTTTGCCGCCTGCTGCGCAAGTGCAAGGACCCGAGTTGGATCCCCAGTACCAAAAAAAAAAAAAAAAAAAAAAAAAAAAAAAAAGCAAAGAACAAATTGTAAAACATAATTAACAAAATATTAGGAAGTTTTTATAGGTGTCTGTTAAATTGGTGGGGTGGGATATTTGTTTCTGCCAGTTGATTGTAATTCTTTTGTTACTTTAAGATAATTTACATTAGAACATTTTATTGATATTTTTGTTTCCAGATTATGTGTAGCAGTTATTTTTAGAATGGTTTAAAAGTTTATACAAGATAGAAAAATTAATACAAAATTGGACAGACATCAGGAACTCCGCCTCAAGACATAACTAGTGTTCATAGTTGAGTGTCTTTACATCATGTCTGCCCCAAGAGTTGGCCAAAATGGGTCACAGGAGAATGAGTTCTGTGCCCCAGGTTTTCATTCAGTAAGACAATGGCTGTGTTCTGCTTTGTTCTGTTCATCAGCTGCCTGTCCTTCCCTTTCTTTAACACAGCATCATGTATCAATCAGTCCTTCATAGATGGATGGGTTATAAATTCACCTGATGTGGAAAATTCCTAATTATGGTACTGAAATGAACATGTTTGTCCATTTGAGTACTTGTGTTAGTAAATTTGTGAAAGTAAAGCCAAAAGTATCAGTGAGACCTTGTTTTCCTTTTCATTTCTTAGGTTTACTAGATGTCTGTAATTCTTTCATTAACTACCTATCATTGTCTTTTGCTCCATTTTGTTAAGATTTATTTTTTTCATTGGTTTATTAGCACCATTTACCATTTTCTCATACTGCCTATTGTCTTTAACTTTTTGTTCTTTTTTTCTCTTTGGCTTCTGTATTTATAGCCATTCTTAAAAGCTTCTTTTGCTTTCAAAATTATAAATATATTCATACATCTTCCATAATACTTTTACCATTTCTTTTTTTCCATTAACATCGTTTGATACAACTGAGATTTAGTTCATCTTGGGGCTGAGGTAGAGAAACTAGCTTTACTTTTTTTTCTTTTTAAACCTAATGAGATGGCTGCACTTCATGTAGAGAGCCAACCTCTTTTTTCAACATGCACTAGTCTCCATCCTGGACTCCAGTAAAAGCTCTTGTCTTCACTGAAGCTTTATGATATAGTTTAGTACCTGCCAAATTAGACTTCCGTAACTCCTATTGTCTCAGATATTTCCTGCCTATTCACTCATTATTATTATTTCATATGAATGTGGTGGTTAAAATAAAGACAAAACCCAGAAGACAAAAAGCAATGAGCTTTTGGTGTATTAGCACAGGGAGCCAACTTGTGTACTGTGCTGGAGACTGCTCCAGACACAGTTTCTCTTGTCCCCTCACTGGCCTCCTATCTCAGTACACTTCATCCTTGCAGGCAAGCAGGCCACAACCTGCCAGTCCTCTCTGTTTTCACGTTCCACACTCAGTCCTCCCCTGCCTTGAAAGTATATCCCAGATCTGTTACCCTTGTCACTCTGCTGCTATCATTGGGAGAAACCATCCTCACTTGCCTTGGAATGCTTCTGGCTGAGTCCTCTGCTTCCTCCTGTGACATTCTCTTCTTATCATGCCAGCTAGATCCTTTTTCACATGTTTTGCCCCTCTTTAACTACAGGCCTTCAGTGGTTTCACATAGAACAGTCAGGTTCTTGGCAGGGACCTGCAGGCAGGCGGTGTCCCCACAGACTCATAACTAACCTGCACTCGAAGCTCTGTGTGCCCTGTGAGGATGTCCCCTTGAGTGCACTGTGTGCTCCCCACCCACACAGTACTCTGGATGAGGTCAGTCTGTAAGAAAACAAAGTCAGCAGGGACCTTAGAAATTAAGTTCCAACCACTTTAGTCATTTGTTCTGGACTGTTGAGAATTCTAGACAGTTACTGCTTTTACATTTGTTCAACTATCCATTCTCTTTGCTTCTATTGGTTTCCTTTGTGTACTTGGATTTTCCTGTTATATAGTTATATCAGCTTCAGATAATGTTATTTTTATTCTTTTTAAAATACAGATACGGTGTTTAGCAGTTAAGTGTTTTAGCCATGTAATTCCCTTTTAGTTGTATTGATTTAAAATTAGTTGTATTGCACTGAAAATTTTTACAGTTTGGTATCTTTTGTTTTTATGCATTTACAGTTTTCTTGCATTTGGGACAAAGGTGGATGTGGGCTTCATAATTTATAACTGCTATTAGGCTCCATTTAAAAATCATTTTGCAGACATTCCTCCTTTAATGGCCAGGTTTCATTCTTGCGACTGGGTTGTTAAATTATTTGGTCTCTGAATGAGGAATTGTATACACTGTGTACATTACAATATTCAGAACAAAGAAAGGGTCAAAGGAAACTTGATGACTTTGCTTTTATTAGCATAACTCTTACATGAAGTACTGTAACGTATAACAGAACATAAAACTACAGTACTATATTGTCCAGTATAATCAGCAAAACTTACAGTACTGTATAAACAAGGTATATGGTACAAAAAAAGACATTGAGGCTCTATATGCAAGATGTACAGAACTGTACCAATGAATGAATGGACAGGTTGTAAGTCTGAGCAGTAGATTATAAGCCCGAACAGTTGTTAAACAGGTAGGTCATTAAACTAGGAATATCTGCACTGGCTGTGATTTGACTACTGGGTCTAACTTATTTTGATGATGTTTTACTGCAATGTAATTGAAAAAGATAATGAGAAATTAAGATTCTAAATTACCAATAATTCAACAGAAAAAAACTAGAAACCTGACCAAAAATTGTGATACCATGTATTTTTTCTTAACTAGGAGGAAGCAGCAGTAATGCTGCTGATGAGACTTGCTGAAGGCTACCATTCTCACTGCCATCCAGCCTTTCAGCTTAAAAAACAGGTATGTTGTGGCTGAATGCAGGGAGTAAGCCAGCATGTGTGAAACTGCTCCCACTGCAGAGGCATCTGAAGCACCAGGCACTTGTCCAAACATTCTGACAGTAGCACATCACCTGCTGTATGACCTCGGTCGAGTAGCTCAGTCTTTCTGAGCTTCCGTGGCTCAGGTTCAGCATCTAAGTTGAGTCGTGTCAGATGTTTCTGATATGAAGTGGAGAGTGCAGGCAGGGAGTGTGTCACAGAGAGCCCTGGCTGTTACTCTCTCCTACATCCAGGACTGGGAGCAGTTTGTCAGTGGGGAGGAAGGTTGTTTTTTCTTCCACTGTGTAAGACTAGCTTTTGTTAACTCACAAATTCAAACCAGGAACTTCGGTTGGGAATTGGCTAAGGTGCTTAATTCTGCATGTGGCAGGATGTGAAGGCTACACAAGAACAGGAAAGGGTCAGTCCCCAAGGCTGTCAGACCCAGGATGCCTGCTCGTGTGTGACGTGTCATGAGCTTGCCCTCCTCCAGGAAGCTGTGCCATCAGCACAGTGTCTGTGGAAAGCTGTGCCTCCAGAAGATAGAGGTGTAGCTGACAGTGTGCATAGCACCACCCATGAACAGGGTGTCAGCAGGGAAGCAGAGAGGAGAAGCATACTGTGCTTTTAAAGGAGGAATATAGCCAGAGAGGGATTGAGTGGGGTCTGGTTTGGAACAGATGTATGGGCTGTGTTGTTCTGATACTGCTCCATCACTGGACTCATGACCAACATCCCCTATCATGACACTGCACTTTGCAAGGAGGCATTAGAAGGATAGAACTTCCAGAACTTCCCTGCAGGGACTAGTGTTCAGATACAGTGAAGTAGTGAGGAAAGCCTCCAAGTCAGTATGTGCCTATTCATCTGGATGTGGGTCCAGATCTAGGCCCTGCTGTGTTCCATACTATCCTCTTCCAAAGCCCAGGTATCTCTCCTTCCATGCTCTCTGAGGTCCTTTTCTGAATCCTGAGTGTCCCTCCCTTGTTCTCTTCAGTCCTTTTCTGGAGCCTAGGTGTCTGTCCCTCTTTCTGTACTCCATCGCATCTGTAGCTGCAGGTAATCCCACCCATGCTTTATAAGGTCTTTCTCTGGTTATTGCTGCTGCAGACCAATTATCCTTTCAGAGGTGTCCATAGCCACCACTTAGTATGCTCTCATTGTGAGTCAGAAATTTGAGGAGGGTTCTGCCAAGAGACCTGTCATATGGGCTTTAGCTCCCATGATGGGCTGTGGTCCCTCTGAGCTCTGCTGGGTGGGTTCCCATCCGTAAAGGCTGGAAGCTGGTCTGAAGCCTTGTGAGGTGGTGGCTGGCTCTGCCTATGGTGCATGACCCTGACAACTAGGGATGAGGGTGGGGCATGTCAGAGGCACCTCTGTTGTTCTCTTGGTCACAATTCCAGTTCAGGGGAGGACGCAGGTCCCACCTCTCAGATGAAAGTATGAGGAGGATTTGTGGCTGTGTTCACAGCCACGCAGAGGTTATCTGGCTGGAGATCTCTGATTGAATATCTTTCCCTTGTGGGAATACACTGAATTCCTGAGCCACACCTTCTAACTTTCAAATGCTGTAGATCTGTAAGAATTTTACAAATAATACATTCTAGAAAGTGTTTTAACATCTATAACAGTTGGGAACATATTTTCTAGGATATTATTATAAATTCTTCCAAAGCAGTTGAGTGTTTCCTCCCAGGTGCTGAGCTGTGAGGAAAGCATCAGGATGTGGCCTTTGCTGCCTTTGCCGGAAGAACCCTGTCAGGACATGGCCAGGTTTGTTGTCTTGGGCTGTGCGGCTCCTAAGGTTGGCAGCTTCAGTGGGCATCAGAGAGCTCCTCCTCCCTGGGGCTGCTGGAAGTCAAGGGGAAAGGAATTGCTGGGCCTGTGGGCTGCTGCAGGCAGGCAGAGCCGGAGGCCCTACTGACTGTGACCTCCAGGCAGAGTGCAAGTCTCGTGTTTGTGGGGAGGATAGTGGCATCCACAGAGAACAGTTCAGGAGACTATTAGGAGTCTGCTCAGTCATGGTGGAACACGCCTGTAATGACAGCTACTTGGAGACTGAGAACAGGGGATTGCAAGTTTGAGGCCAGCCTGGGCAACTTAGTGAGATCCTGTCTCAAAATAAAAAGCAATAGGAATATGGAGCAGTTGCCTAACATATCTGATTCCCTGGGTTCCTTCCCCAGGACCGCCAGAAAAAAAAAAAGGGAAGGAAACAAAAAAACAGGAAAGAGGATTCTAGAACTCAGGAGGAAGAGGTGGACATACAAGTTTTGGGATCATAGAGTGTGGCAGACATACTTATTTGATGGAATAAGTTTTGGGTGATTCACAGATCACCTTTTGTCTACATAGGACATTGCATATTATATTATTTATTCTTACCACTCTGTAATGGAGTTCGTGTTTATTTTATATTTGAGGAGCTAAATTTCAAGTTAAGTTTATTGCTTGTTGAACACTGGAGTAAATTACTTTGCATAGGCACTAATGTGGGCATTTTACCATTACTGTGTGTCTTTAAATATTTTGTTTTTCAGAATGGAAGATAGTGAAACAAATGCCTGCTACTCTTTAATTACAAAAATTGTGCATGAGCTCTGTTACCACGTGCCTGAGAATCATCGTGCTCTTAGTGTCTTCGGTGATCTTCCTGCTGAGGAGTGAGTGCAGGATAGGTGACAGTTTTAAACATCATTAAGCAAATAAGGATAGAAAGTTTAGCTGTTTTCTGTATTAAATTTCAGAAGCCAATGTTAGTGCCCTAAGTAGAATTATCAGATAAGGTTTGGTTATTGTGCAAATGTTGGTGTATCTGATGAGGTTATAAATACTCTTCTGTTCCCACAATTCAACATTATTTAACACTTGCCATGTGTCCTAGCCCATCCCAGGCCCGTGCCCCCAGAGCTTTGCAGGAGAGCCCATCTGGGCCTAGGTCTGGCAGCAATGCCCTGAGGATGGGACATGTCCCCTAAAAGTTTTGCTCTTGCTTGCAGGTGGCCCCCACTGCTTTATGCACTCTGCAACATGCATGTCTCCACGCTCTTCTGCCCCAGAGCCATGCTCGAAGTGCTGGGTGTGCTCCGCAGCATCACTTCCCACTGCCAGTGCGTGTCCAGCCAGGTGGTCACCTCCCTGCAGCTGAGGCACCAGCAGTGGGAGGAGAGGAGGCTGCGCTCCCGACAGCGGCGGAACTACCTGAGCATGAGGGCCAGGTATGGCTGGCCAGGTGTGGTGGGAGGCAACTGGATGTAATTCTGGCCTTTACTTAATCCTGTGCCTTTCTCAGGTAGCACATACTTTGTACATACTTTTTAAAGTAACATTTATGAGCTTGACATATGGAAGTGTGGGTTCCACCTACCCAAATGTATATTTGGACCTACAATCTAACAGTGTGTTAACTTGGGTTTGTCAGCTTTGTGGCTTCTTCACTTGACAGCATATATTTTGGAATACAAGAAAAGTCCATTTTGGAAAATTTCTAGAATTTGAGTTGAGCAGTGTGGGTGTTCCCCATGCTTATGATAGGAATTGGTTGATTGCTTTCAGAGAGTGCTTGGTTTACACTCTTATAATTGGTAAGGTAGTGCCATTACAACACTTCCTCCCAAAACAGTATTTTTAAACATCTTTACTGGTTTTAAGGAAAAAGAAATCTGACTTTTTAAATTAGACTTTTTGAGTTGGTAGACATTGAACACACTTTCATATTTAAGCCATTTGTTTATCTCTTCTTGTAAAAGTTCTTTACTGAGCTTGAGGTAGTATGCTGATGACCAAGAACATGAGGACTGAGCAGTTGTACTGGTGCTGCTGATGGCCCAACCTGTGCAGGGCAGGGCTGTTGTGGCTCAGACCAGACAGGGTGCTGCAGCCCAGGTTCCAGACAGAAGGCAGGTTCTGGGCTCACAGTGTCTGGAAAACCATCATCTGAGATGCCTGAAAAAGATGTTGGTTAGGGGAAGAGCTTGTTTTCCCTATGAAAGTAGAAGTTATTTGTTTGTCAAATTGTAATTTACTTTTATCTGTTTCCAGTATTAGGCTTCTGTCTCCTGTGCTTTATCTGATTTTATTGCTTATTGCACTGGAATTGGTCAACATTCATTTTGTCCATGGAAAAAATACTTATGACTATCAGCAGTATCTAAAGTGAGTATGTTCTGTTTGCAAGAAATCATGTTTAGGTAATTTTTGAATAATTTCCACCCCTAACCACCTGCCTTTGGAAGTGTTATTAACACCACCCCCCACCCCCGCAGATTCTGATGAGCTTTAGCTGATCTTTGTGTTTTTGGTGCTAGTAAGTTTGATGCCCACATGGGCACATTTCACAAAATTGGATATGGTTCACATTTGAATCCTTCCAGAATTCTCCAATCTGTACAGAAATAACATGGTGCCTGGGTACAGGTTGGATGAGACTCTGGAAATGGTGTTTCCAGGAGCCTGAGGCACTGAGCCCCCTTGATAACACCAACAACTGTCTTGGGCAGAGGTTTGGACCGTCCAGACCTAGGAATCCATAAGTGGATAACCCATGTGTCACACACATCACGAGAATCCAGAGATTCAGACCTGAGGAGGCCCCTCAGACAGACCAACCCAAGAAGCAGCCTGTACTCAGATGTAGCTGCCATCAGTGAAACCTTGCTACCAATCCTGGAAGTTCTTGATGTCTTTCGTTGGTCTTAAGCTAATGATGGAAAACCTTGTAGAGCTTCAGTGATACAAATAGCCCACTGCAACTCGTGTGCCATAGGTTCGCCACCACTAGTCTAAGATAATGCTTTGCAGGTGCCAGGCACATTGTTAACATATTTCAAATGAACAGGAAAACACAACCGCAGCATTGGATGGACACTAAGTCCAAGGAGAGTGCAGTGTTTGTGTGCAAGATGCTCTCACTGACTACTCTGGCCAGGCCTCTCAGCCAGGCACCTTTGGCATTTGGGCTGGGCCTTCTCTTGTGGGAGCACCTGCCCACTGCAGCAACCCTGGCCTCCACCTACATGTACAAGTAGCACCCCCTAGTTGTGACAGTCGGGAGTGGAGTAGGCATGGCTGGATATCCCTGGGGACAAAATCACCCAGTTGAGAACCACTCCCCTAGGTGAAGGACCTGTGGTTTGTGGTTCAGATTTCAAGATAAAAATTGGAGAAGTTTATGCTACTTGGGAAACTTTGAGAACTTTGGAAAAGTAAAAATGGCATCCTTACTAGTTAATAGATAACTTGAGTCATTTTGGTGAATCTTTAAGGAAGAGCATTCCTCATGGCCCTAGCTGTCTCACAGTGGTATGGTCAGTTATCGGAGGCCTCTGTCCCAGGGTAAGGGTATGTGCGGGTGTGGAGGTGTCTCTACAGGCCAGGCCATCTCCCTGCATCCATGTGTGGGCTGCATGCCTGTTCTGGGCCAGTCCAGTACAGAAGGTCCTGGAGATTCTTTCTGGAATTACATTTGGTCACGTAAAAGCATCATGGCTGGATTTGAGAGCATGTATGAAAAGGCACTTGATTTTTATAAAACTTCCAGAAGCTCGTCCAGGTATTGATGACATTTACCTCTCAGCATTTTTATTTCTCCTATAATTTGCATTCTCTTATTTCATCTTGCACGTATTTCTTTTTCTGAATCCAAAGATAAAAGTTAAGACATATTCAACTGTAATCTTAAATTCCCAGAGCATTGAGAAGACATTTAAGTCATTATTCCATTTTGTAATGTATAGACAAGTCAGTTTCTTTCTTTTCTTGACAGGTTCTTTAAGTCAGTCTTGCAGTATTCTGAGAACCTCGTGGCCTATACCAGACCGGAGAAGAACAAATGGAGAGAAACCATCAGTCTTACACATGCAGCTTTGATGAAAATTTGGACTTTTAGTGAAAAGAAACAAATGTTAATACATTCATCCAAAAAATCCACAAATAAAGCAATCTTATGAAAACACTTATAAGTCAAGATGTTTGGATTGCAACAAAAACCAACTGAAATAGATTTTAACAGCATGTAAATTGAATATCCACCAGGGCATAGATTTGAGGGTCCATTTGTGTTTCTGCAGCTTTCTGATGTGTTCTTCCAGAATGGTCAGTATGACCTTCAGGCTGTCCTCTGTGGTAACCAGATCACCGAAATAGGTTTTGGTTCCATGTCCTCTTATCCATAGGTTGCAAGAAGGCCCAGCTGCTTCTCACCCAACTGGTACCTAGAAAGATGTGGCTTCACTCTTACTGGGCAAAGCCAGCTCTTCACAGCAATCACTGGCCAGTGGTTAGGCCAGATCAGCCTCTGGGATAAAGCAGTTGGATTTGGTGGAATTTAGTGTATCATGCAAGGATGTATGATCCACATACTTGAGCCAGCTCCTTGGCACACTATCTCAGGGACACATGACTCTCATGCACATGATATCAGGTTCTCAGTCTGCTACCTCAGGGATGCGTGACACACATGTGATGTTAGGTCCTCAGCCTGTTACCTCAGGGATGTGTGACACACACATGTCAGGTCCTCAGTCTGTTACCTCAGGGATGTGTGATATATGTGATGCCCGGTCCTCAGTCTATAACCTCAGGGATGCATGACACATGATGTCAGGTCCTCTGTTACCTCAGGGATGCATGAAACACATGATGCCAGGTCCTCAGTCTGTTACCTCAGGGATGTGTCACAGACATGTGATGCCAGGTCCTCAGTGTACCACATTAGGAACTCATGACTTAAACATGATACCAGGTCTTCAATGCACCACTTCAGGAACACATAACACATGATGCTGGGTCTTCAGTGTATCGCCTCAGGGATGCATGACATACATGAAGGCCTGGTCCTTTGTACCATTGCGAACCCATGGCCCACACACATGATGCCATGATTTGTGCACACTAGTCAGAGACACATGCCTCACACACATGAAGACATGTTTTCTCCCTTCACTCAATGAAATAGGCTCTACCTTTTTGCAGTTCTGTCTTTGGTGTATCACAGCCAGAAGTATGTGATGTCTTTGCTTCATTCATGCGGTGTGAAACTATACATTTGAAAGGATAAGGCTAGAATTTCTTCATTATATCTCTTTTGTATCTCCTAACTAATGTGTGATTTGATACCCGAACCATTTGAATATTCCTTTTCCATCACTTTCTCTCATTTTTATGAAGTAATTTTTATTCTTGCTTGAGCCTTCTTTGCTATCAAATGCTAATTTTCTGTTGCTAGTATGGGTGAAATAAGGTTGTCATTTTCCTCTGAAGAAGAGTTACAGCTTCCAGCATAATTAACAAATTAATTAGAGTGTTTCCTGCCAGAAATAAAGCCTGTCATCCAACATGTCTAATAAACATATAAGGGTGGTTTTGGGGGCGGGGGGAGGCCAGCTGTTTCGACCTCAGGGAGGACTTGCTTTCTGCAATCTTACTAGAAGAGAAACCAACTGAACTGTGTCCCAGTTCATTTTATGTTAACACTTTGTTGAATGTCCTACATACCAGGCTCTGAGCCATCACTGAGTGCACAGATAAGGCCTTCCCCAACCTCTAGACCAAGCAGCTCATGCTCCTCATGTCTGACCAGTTCTTCAGAGGAAACAGTAATCAGAAGCCAGTCATGCTGGCACACATGCAATCTCAGCACCTGGGAGGCTTACACAGGAAAATTGATAGTTCAAGGTCAGCTGGAGATACATACTGACATCCTATCTTTAAAAAAAAATTATGAGGCAAACAGATTGGAGCAAACTCTCAAATCTCTGCCACTTGCAGTCACAGGACACTGGCTGTTGGGAGCAATGCTACATAATTTGGAGGGGGGGATCATTTGATTAGACTCAGCTATGGGATTTGGAGACATAATTCAATTTTGGCCTCCGGTCACAACTGAGACCTCAATGATCCGGTGATGCTGTGATGCTCCAGGACAAGATTACAGCAGCTGAAGACCTCCTGGGAGGAACAAAATCTTCGTCTGCATAGTTCCTCGTTGATCTAGGAATTCCATCTCTCCCTAGTCATCTGTTGCATTTGTGTCTCCTGATGTACTGAATTAAAGGTGTGGTAAACTGGGGGCTTTCATCTTTGTCGCCCAGAGCAGCACTGATCAGGCCCAAAGCTCAGCTTCTTCTCAACGTCTCATTTTTTTCTACCTTTCCTGTATAGTAAGTTAATTTGCCTTATGCTGTTGTGGCTCACAGGAGACTAGGATTTACTGCAGAGGTTCTAGTAACGTCTCCTTTCCCATACAGCTGGCTACTCAAGGAGCTAGCCTGGTGAGGCAAGTGGTAGCACAAGGGCCACCAAAAAGTCTGGTGAAGCCTGGCAGACAGGTAGCAGCATAAGGCCCAGGCCCAAGAGCTGGCCACATCCTGGCAGAGATCGTGGCTCTACGGCTAACTAGCTTCACAGAGTACTAACTCCTGGCAGTTTGGCTTCCTCATCTGTAAAGTGCTGGTAAAGACATTACTTACTTGGTTAGATCGATGCCAGTATACAGTGAGGTAGTGCTTGGAAATAGTTCCCCTAATCCCTGACAGAGACCAGTAAATATTAGCTCTTACCTGACAATTCTATATGCTGAGAAGAATGACTTGGATTCTAAGTCAGGCTCTCTGTGTCCAGAGGATGATGGTCTTATCTTTAAAAGGCAACCCAAATTACCTTTGCAAACCTTCTGACTTGTCTCAGAATTCCTGCACAGCTTTATGTAAGTGGTCTGGTCGGGGAGCAGCTGCTAGCTACACAGCCTCACCTTAAGTCCCAGCCAAGAATAGCTTTTGGTTCAGCTAAGAAGTGCCCTTTAAGCCATGGATCGGAACTCCTGGTGCCTGGCAATACTGCTATCTGCTCATACCTGTTTCAAGGCAGGTGTTGGGGTGTCTGCAGCTGGTACATCTGCACTCAGCCATCTGTAGACCCAGACATTAGTGGAAATGCATCCAAGTGCATTGACCACTGGCTAAACAGAATGCTAGTGGGGGCTCACTTCTGGTTTTGCCTCTTTAGCGATTTGAGGAAGAAGCCACTCTCACGGACAAGTTTGGATTCTTGGAGCACAATGCTGCCGAGTCTATTAACATAACTTTCTAGGCTAGGTTTGTGCTTACATTTGCATTTCTTCTAGCAAGACATGGGGTGGCGCTCTTTGTTAAGCAATGCCATGGGTAGGCATGCAGGAGAGAGTTGTCTATGTGGGAGATAAAAGGCTGCTGTGAAGGAAACTGGCTTCAGGATCATCGGTTAAAGGAAAACACATTCATTCCTTTTTCCTTTGGCTGTAAATGATAGAACATGGGAAAAGTGAACCATTGGTCCAGAACGAGGACCATGGAACATCACCCTCACCTGAGAAATGAGGTTTCATTTATGTATGTGCTAATGAAAGACAAGGACAAACATGGTCTGAAATCTTTCCCATCTGAGGGAAGCCTGGGTCTGAGGATGCTCCCTGTGTGGAGGTCCTTTGAGGGGGACAGCAGCATGGCTGCTGGTTGTCATGAAAGATGAGGGCAGCCCCAGGTCACTGTTATTAGGTCATTGTCCTATGAGGTATTCATCTACTTGCTGGCGGGGGTGGGGTGGGGTGTGTCTTTGTTTAAGAAACCAGACTGAGCTCCTGCAGAGGACCAGGCAGACAGCAGATTTGCTGTGGAAACTGTCTTCTGATAACTCATCTTCCCAAGGCACAGGCTGCATTTGCATCTTAGCATTGCTATAAATTTTCCAGTGCTGCTGCAGAGAAGGGAGCAGGGGCTTCTGCTGGGCGTGTGAAGGCCCATTTGTGTACAGCTTCTACAGGCTGTCAAAGGAAATTCTTCACACTGGGTAAAAGGGAGTGGCTGTGGTTTGGTTTATAGCCATACTAAATAATTTTAATAAAACTAAATTGCTGTGTTGCTTACAGTGTCTGCCAGCATCAGAGAAAGACCTAAATCATAGCCTTCCTGCGATTCCTCACCTCTGGATTTCCCAGGGACTGTGGGTGATACAGTGTCAGTGTACTACAGTGTAATACAGTATCAGTGTGAAGTCACTGGGGACCGTTTAAAATACATCTCTGATCATATCTTAAGTTTTTCCAAATAAAGCCCTGGATGCATTCAGGAAGTACTTTTGACACATCATTTAATTACTTTATAATAAAAGTATTTTATGTTAAATTCAAAAAAAACCAAGCATAAAACAAAGCCCTATACCAGTGATTATAGTTTGTGAAGCCTGTAAGCACAGACTTATCATTATAAATATTAAATACCACCCTTACAGTAAGCTCATTTATTTTCAAAGCACTTTGCAATCATTAATTGCTCACATCTTCGAATACCCTTCGAGGCAGTATTATTAAATCCACTTACAAGGATAGAAACTTGAGCACAAAAGACCTAGAACTCACCACCCTTTGAAGGAAAAGCAGTTGCCAGGAATGCTGGCTTGTCCTTTCCCGGGGCTGCTCTTTGGCCAAGTTCTGTCATTCCCACAGTGTCCACCCTCCCTCTTTCACACACATTAATGCTGCCCTCTGCCATTCCCTGTGGACTGTGACAATTGCATTGGTGTGATGACAGGCAGATTGCTTATCCTGATGCCTACTACCTCAAGGGAGGCACTGTGAGCTTCATTTCATAGATGCCAGTGAAGGGGTGGTCATGGGAAGGTGACCAGGGCCCATCATACCTTGCTGTTGGGCTATGGGGCTGAGTTCAGCTCACTGCCTGCCTGTCATCAGGAGACTGTAGGCAAGCACTGCAAAGCCTGTCGGGTGCCCAGGTGATGGGCACAGAACCACAGTCTTACTCCTCCAACCTACTTGGTTTGTGCTTAGTTTTATGTAAGACTGTGAAAGGAGTTTAGGGCCTTCTTTGTACATTCCTACACAGAGCATGGCCAAACTCAAGTGGGAACTCTAGGCCATGATTCACCCTACTCTAACAAGTCTTCCCTCTGAGACACTGAGAC